TGGGGATGTCTTGCAGGAAGTCAGTCTTGCCAGCTGAAGCAGGGAACTGCTAAGGCAGCTGCACCCTGTTCCGACCATCACAAAGCAAGAGACCGGAGAACTAGAAAGGTGAGGCTCACCAAGCCATTTATCCTTTGGCCCTTCAACTAATCCCACATGTGTTTATCGGCCAGGTTGGTACAATAAACTAACTCAGCGTTCAAGAGTGAAAAATCTTGTCAGAACAATTGTTATAAATTCAGCAGAAGGGGAAAGGATTTTTCAAAGATGAACATAATATGTTTGGAGAAGAGAAGCCACCTGTTTCTGATCTAGCAAACACAGTGACTATTGTCTAATTAGTCTCCCCTTGAAGGAATAGGACCCTACTTCTACAGTGAAAAGACGGTTATGGATAAATCACACAACCAATGAGGCTCAGATAAATGTGAAAATATTACAAGGGAGGATGCCAAACAAGAAGCAGCATGAAAACATCTTAAAAAACGGTTTTATTATTTTTGTCAGGTATTATTTAATATTTTAATTTAAATAATATACTTAATCATTTATTGGGGCTCGTAAAACCCTTATCACATAGATCCTTAATAAATACATATTTTTTACATACATGTATACATTTAATAGTATTGTCCATTGAGTTAGATTTATTATATAGTTTGCTGTGCCATGTCTGATAGCCTCCATAACAACCCAAATTATTATTCCCCCACAAAGACCTACTTCTGAAGAGTAGAAAAAAATGGTGGTAAAAGGGCGAACTTCAGATTCTTCAAGTTCCAATTGTGTCCCAAATACCATTGTATGTTCACCTTGCTTGCCCCTAGAGCTGATTTTTAAAAAAATCATTTTATTAGGGGCTCATACAACTCTTATCACTATCCATACACACATCAATTGTGTAAAGCGCATTTGTACATTCATTGCCTGAGCTGATTTTTTTTAAGTCATTTTATTGTGGGCTCATACAACTCTTATCACAATCCATACATACATCAATTGTGTAAAGCACATTTATACAATCATTGCCCTCATCATTCTCAAAACATTTGCTCTCCACTTAAGCCCTTGTCATTAGCTCCTCATTTTGGATGTTGTCGAATGCTTTTTCTGCATCTATCGATATTATCATGTGGTTCTCACGTCAATGTGGCGAATGATACTAATGGTCTTTCATATGTTGAACCATCTCTGCATCCCTGGTATGAATCCCACTTGGTCATGGTGAATTATTTGTTTTATATACTTTTGTATTGTATTGGCCAGTATTTTGTAAAGGATTTTTGCATTGATGTTCATTAAGGATATTGGTCTGTAGTTCTCGATACTTGTGGGATCCTTGCCCGGTTTTGGTATCAGAGTTATACTAGCTTCATAGAAGGAGTTCGGGACTTTGCTGTCTTTTTCTACGTTCTGGAAGAGTTTGTGTAGGATTGGTGTTAGTTCTTCCCTAAATGTTTGGTAGAATTCTCTTGTGAAGCCATCTGGTCCAGGGGATTTTTTTGTTGCTAATCCCTCGATAACCTTGTCTATTTCTTCTATTGCTATGCGTTTGTTGAGATGCTTGACGTCCTTTGGGGATAGTCTAGGGAAGGATTGTTTTTCCAAGAATTTGTCCACGTCTTCCAAGTTGTTGAATTCATTGGAGTACAGTCCTTTGTAGTACTGTGTAATTATCCTTTTGATTTCATTAGGGTCTGTTGTAATGTTCCCGCTTTCATCCCTCATTCTTGCTATTGAAATTTGTTCCCTGCTTTCTTTGGTTCGGTTTGCCAGCGGTCTGTCAATTCTGTTTATCCTTACAAAGAACCAACTTTTATCAGCATTAATTTTTTCCATGGTTTTCTTATTTTCCCTCTCCTGAATCTCAGCCCTGATTTTTATTATTTCTTTTATTTTGCTATTAGTAGGATTGTCCTGCTGACTCTGCTCTAGTTGTTGTAAATTTTGTGCCAGCATATCAAACATGAATTTCCCTTCCTTTATCAGGTGTGCATGTATTGCTTTGAAACTTCCTCTGGTAACTGTCCCATAAGTTTTGGTACGTCGTGTTCTCGTTCTTGTTAGTTTCTAGAAATATCCTAATTTTATTTCTGATCTGTGCTAGTACGCACTCCTTTTGCAATAGAGAGTTATTCATCCTCCAAATGTTTGTTCTTATTTTCTTCGTCTTCTTTTTGTTGATTTCCAGCCTTAAGGCACAGTAGATAGAGAGAGGTCTGTATGATATCAATGTGCTTAAATTTATGTAGATTCACCTTATGCCCCAGCATGTGGTCTATCTTCGGATATGTGCCATGTGGGCTTGAAAAGAATGTGAATTTTTTATATTTGGATGAAAAGCTCTGTAATTATCTATCAGGTCAAATTGTCTAATTGTAGTGTTTAGATCTCTAGCCTTCTTATTGAGTTTCTTTCCCTGTGATCTATATTTCTCAGAGAGCAGCATATTAAAGTCACCCACTATAATTGTTGAGGCTGTGATTTCTTTTTTCATCTTTTGGAGTGTTTGGTTGATCTATTCAGCGGGTCTCTCATTCAGGGAATATATGTTTACAATGTTTAGTGGTTCTTTGTCTACCATTCCCTTGAGCATTATATCATGTCCCTCCTTATCTATTTTTTGGTTTGCACTTTGAGGTCAATTTTATCCGAAATTAGAATTGCAACCCCTGCTTTTTTTCAATTGCTGTTTCCTTGATATACATTTCTCCAGCCTTTGGTTCTCAGCCTATTTTTGTTCATTGTCTTGACATGTGTCTCCTGATGCATTGTGTTTTCTAAGCCAGTCTGCTAGCCTCGGTCTTTTAATGCCTGAGTTCAGCCCATTGATATTCAGGGTTATTATCTCCATCTGCAAACTCTGTGATGTCCTCTTATACCTTTTATGTGGGGTATTTTCCTATCTTCCTTTCTTACTAGTGTGTTGTGCATGTGTGTGTGTGTGTGCATCGTTCATGACTTCTTTCCATCCTTAAGTCAATGCTATCTTGGAGTCTGTTTTCTCTTTGTTGCCCTCTGGGTGAGTTTTTCTATGTGCTGGTCTCTTATTTATGCTTGGTGAGTGTTGTTCTTCTGCCCATACTGCGTCAGCAAGGATCTTTTGTAAGGCTGGGTTTCTTCTAACACATTTTGAGTTTTTCCTTGTCTAAGAAGACTCTTACTTCTCCATCTATCTTGATCTATAATTTGGCTGGGTAGAGTATTCTTGGGTTTGTATTATTTTCCTACAATTTTTGGAATATGTTACTCCACTCTCTCCTCTTCTTCATAGTTTCTGCTGATAGGTCTGAGCATATTCTTATTTGGGAACCTTTATATGTGATTGCTTATTTTTCCCTAGCTGCACTCTTGATTTTCTCCTTTTCCTCAAAGTTGGATAGTTTAACTATTATGTGCCTTTGTGACTTCTTCTTGGGATTCAGTCTAGCTGGTGTTCTTTCAGCCTCCTGAATGGTTGCCTGGTTTTAATTCATTAAGCTGAGGAAGTTTTCCTCTAAGAATTCTCTGACTATTGTTGCAGATGACTTCTTTGTTGTGTCTTCCTCTGGTAATCCAATTATTCTGATGTTGTTCTATTAGGTAGTTTAGCTTAGGGACTTGGGCGTCCATTACGCATGCTCAGAGGTCAGAGCTACCAGCCCATGAAGGAGTGGTACATTGTGCATGCTCAGAGGTTCAGGTTTCCGGCCAGTAAGGTGAGGTACACCTGGGTGGATGCTGCACCTGGATTGGCCCACCTAGGCCAGGTAAATTCAATTCGGCCAATGGGGTCCACCAGGGTCACCCACCACACCTCCCGAGGAATAATAGAAGAGGTAGGAGCCCGGAGCCAACTGTGTGACTTTCTGAGCAGCTTCTAGGAAGGCTGCACAGGATGAGGGGCCCTGCAGGTGCCATGTAAACCTAAAACTTCTTCTAATTCTCATTTAAAAACTCACTTGGATCACAAACCAGGCTTCAGCATGAATTATTTCTT